TGAAAGTTACCAAAGCACGATGACTGAACGGTGAATTAGGTTAGGAGAGGTCCTACCACAGATCTTTATCCTTCGTGAGCCATGGTCACTTTGAAGCTCTAAGGAGAACTACAGAGCCTGTCACGTACTAAAAGAGGCCATAAAACATACAAGACAATCTGCATCAAACTGTGGATCCACTGAGTCTATCTGTAGTTCCGCCAGTTACTGTGACACCCACTTAAGGACCTGTGGCTACAAGGATGTACAAGTGTACACTCCACGGGAAAGGCAAAATCTTCATCCAAAAACTGGAATCTAAACCAATAAATAGAGAAAACCAGTTTTTAAAATCTCAGGTTTTAGGGGCTTGGGTGTAACGCAGTGGAAGAACACTTTCCTACCATGTGCAAAGGCTCTGGGTTCAATCCCGACCAGAATAAAATCAAAATAAAATAAAATAAAATTTAAAATTCCAAGATGCAAGTATTAAGTTCAGATTCTTACAAACAGTTAAGTATGAGGTGATAACAATAAAACTAGGAATTTAATATATTTCTTTTCTCTTCTTGCTCCTTTTAAATAACACATGCTTAGGGTTTGATGCTTGAGTGGACTCCCATAGGGACCAGTGACTCAATGAGAAACAGCCATTATAGTGACCACAGTACATTTCCAAAAATTCTCATGAATCAGCATTTTGCTCTTGTCTGACAAATTCATGATGATACTTAAATAAATGCCACTGTTTTAAGTCTAAACAGACTATTGATTCTGTTATCTTGGAATAATTATTTAGAGTAGACAAAATAATTCCTTTCTTGCATGTGTTTGAATAGGACTAAAAATCAGACTACATAAACCTTAGCAAAACCAGTAATATATTGAAACTTCTATCTAAAAAATGTCAGTCATTCCTTAAGGTTCTTTGTTAATCAATACAATGCTCAATCTTATAAGCATACCATCTGTTGGTTAGTCTCTGCTCCATGTTCTAATTTATAGGAGGGTAAGAAATGTGCATCACTCCTCTTTGATTCCCAGTTTCTAGCATATAACACGATGTACAGCACAGGCCCAGTGAGTGTGTACTGAAATATTTTGGAGGGTGTAATTTCAATTACTTCTTATTTACCTGAAAATCAAAGTGTTAGATCACTTGCTCATCTTTAGTTTTACCCAGAAATTCTTCTAGATTGCCTTTCTAAATCTGTTTATTTTTCTATTGGATTATTCATCTTTTTTTTACCTATCTATAGCCCTTAGTATTTTACATACTATTCTGAAAATAAAATATTTGCCTATTATCATTGCAAATATTTTCTCAATCTGTTACTTACCTTGTATTATATGCTATCATTCACCACGCATGAATTATTTTTTGATATAACCCAAATTATCAATCTTATTTGGGGAAGACATTGGGTCTCTGAAGACATTTTCCCTAGTATGTCATAAAGATAGCCTCCTATAAACAGTAGTGTTTCCAAGGATGTACATTCCATCTGAGACTTCAGATAACCACACACTTACTGCATTTAACTTCTGTAGATGTTAAAATGAGGCTTTTTTGGTCTCAATTTTATTTTCAGGCCTCCAAATGGTGTCAGTTGTTCAAGTGTCAAAGGACAATGCTGGCTGACCTAGTAGGACTAGCAAAGTTGTCTGGAAATAGATTTCAAATCCTTTCACCCAACAGTCATCTCAAGGTTTCAAAGAGTTGACAAGGTTAATACCCGAAAAAAGACTTCTTCAAAGAAAACTATGCAGTGAAGCAAATCTAGCTGCCCTCCTGCCATCCAGTGGCTAGTGAGGCTTCTTCAGGAGGCCACTGGAAAGGCTCAGTATGTCATAACGACAGCCAGGGTAAAGGGTGTGGGTGCCTAAAGACCAGGAATGCAGGCAGTGGTAGGACTATGTAAAGGGGAACTGCCCGAGTGTGGGGGCCTCAGCTGGAAGGGGCTCAGGCTGAGGGTCCAGGGGCAGCCAAGAGCAAAATGTGAATGTGGGTGATTGAGATCTCCCTTCCCATCAATTGCCAGAGGAGGCACAAGATGGGGGAGGGGCAGAGTTGAGATCTCAGTGACATTTGGAATTTTTAAAAAACTACATACATTATTTATTAAAATGCCACATTCTTCTCCTGAAGGTGACACGAGGAATTAAAAAAAAATTTTTTTAGATGGACTTGATATTGGCTAAAATAGAACTACTACAAATTTCACCAAAGGGCTGGGAAGAAACCAGGCTCCCAACGCTAGGCTTGACCAGGCACCAGGGGACAATGGTCCCTCCTGACTGCACCCTATTCTAGTTTGCTGCCCCTGTGTCAGTGGAGCGTGGTATCAATACAACAGCTCTGTGAGAGTTCAGTACTGCAGGGGTGGACTGCGGGCTGCACATGTTTATGTAAGTCGCATCTTTGGATGTCATGTGGTATAACTATTGGGCTTGCAAAGAAATATAAATGGTATTTGTGCACCCATGTTCCTAGCAACATTATTCCCAAAACCCAAGAAGCAACTCCAGTGTCCACTGACAGATGACTGGACAGAAGCAGCATGTTTCAGACATACAGTGGATTACTATCCTGCCTTAAAAAAAAATTTGGACACACATTGTGGGTGAAATTTGAGGCCATTCCGCTAAATGAAATAAGCCAGTCACAGAAGGACAAAGACAATACAGTTTCCCATATATGGGGTACCTGGAGGAGTCAAGTTCACAGAGACAGAAAGTTGAATGCCAGATGCCAGGGAGATGCCCTGGGCATGTTTGATGGGCACAAAATCCAGTTTTGCAAGATGAAAAGAGGCTTGGAGATCAGTTGTTCAACATGTAAACAAACTCCATATATTTTAAATGGTTTCGAAGATAAAATTATGAGGTGTGTATTTTCATCCCCCCCAACTAAGTTAAACAACAATAACAAAAGATTTAACCTTCATTAGTCATGTATCAGTAATGAGGGAACAATCACAGCAAAGAGCAGTTACAAATTATCTTGTGCTATATCAGGGCTACACATACATGGTCTCATTTAATCCTTTCAAACCTATTAAAACCTGTATTTACAGGTAGAAAATTGAGGCACAGAAGGGTTAATGTGTCTAAAGTTGCATGACTGAAAGGAGCCGGGCTAGGTAGTCTGACACTGCAGCCTGCCTTCCGAGCCCTCCAACCATGGACAAGCTTACTGGACTGGAAAGGGTTAGAAAAACCACTAGCACCACTGTTGACACCTGCACGGCTTCCTGTCTTTCACGCTCCCTGGATACTGCTTGCTAAACTACTGTTGCAGAGGTATTTTTTATCAAAAGAAGAAAGGGAGCCAGGGGAAGTTGAGCAACTTGCTTCAGACCACACTGTGGGAGCTCTGACCCCCCAGCTTCTAACTCTGAGTCCATGGCTACACCCTCAGCCACTCTCCATCTGGCCCAAGTCCTTCTTCTCCCCTGAGAATGTCTACAGAGGACACATCCAGAGTCATACAATGGTCATTCAAAGGCTCATCCAAGGTCATACAAAGAGCCAACATAGTTTTCATACATCATGGACAACTATCTTTAAAGATAATTTGCTTCCACAGGATGCTATAAATACATGTTGATGAAGTAAAGACAGGTACAGCGGCAGAGAGCTTGGTCAGCATAAAATAGAGAGCTTTTTTGCAGGAGCTCTTTCACTTGCCGAGCTGATGCATTAAAACCACCACTTCACTTACATGGCCAACTTTTCAATGCCCGCCTTTCTCCCACCTCCTTGTGCATTAGCTCTGCAATGACACGTGATAAATTGAGCAAATTCACTTAGACAGCATGTCTAGCTTCTCTTAACGTGGATTTGGTAATGAAGCAGGAAAGTGCATGATTATTGTATTATTCAGAACTTCAAGGGATGGAATTACATAAATCTTCACTTGATCCTGATTTCATATCTATAAGGAACTCTTACAACAGTTTCAATAACCGTGAATGAACTTTATAATGTTGGAAAATGAAAGTACAAAGCTAGGGTCTTCTGTTCAGCAGCTTTTTGCTCTCACTAATATAACTCATTTCTGAGTTTGACACAAGGTTCTTGATAACTGTGAATAGAACAACTGCTATTCTTCTTCTTTTTTTTTTTTTAAACCGAGAATTGAACTCACAACCTTGCACTTACCAGGTAGGCACTGTGCTGCTAAGCTATATCCACAGCCCCTCAATTGCTATTATTGATGATATGTGGATGGGAATTACTTGCTGCTATCTACAAATCCAGCCATATAAACTCTCTTATGTATAATAAAGGTGTTCTTCCACGAGTCTGTGTTTTTGTTTCCCACGACCTTACCATCATGGGTGAAACTGGGGCTTGTATATCTGAAGGAACTCTATAGCAAGTGCCCCTTTCTGACAGCAGCAAAACGTCTGCAGTCCCCCCCAAATAAAACTTTCCAAGTCCAATGACCAGGAAACATTTTCCATTCAGTTGCAAAAACACACCAAGACTCCGAGAAGAGAAAACTGGGACTCAGTTTATTTGTAGTACTACCCTTGCTGTACTGAGGACTTGTGCTCACTGAGCACACTCTCCTTTCAGCCTGCACACACCAACAGAAAGTATGTTTATTTCACTCACCGCTGCATCCCCAGCTCTGAGGGACATGGTTTACATCGGCTGCTACATCCTCCACAAGATGACTAAATAACCTCATGTCCTTCCCACCATAGTCCATTTTTACCATTTTATAGACAAAAAAACTGAGAAGCATTAATGAAAATGTGTTCAAGGTCACTCAACTTACAAATGTTAGAGGCTGTATTCAAATGCAAATATACTTGAACTCAGAACCCACAGCTCAACCATAAAATAATTTTACTAAGTTAGATCACACCTTAAGGCTTTTTGCCAACTACTGAGGCCACCTATGAAAAGGTGGGTCTAAAAAACCACATTTCATATCAGCACTATAGCCGGGTCATAATCTTTCAAATAGCATCAACACTCTACAAATAAGCTTAGCAGCAGTGACTTACCCACAAATCCTTCTTCACCAACCAGTTTCAGGGCAATTTTATCGGCTAACACTGAAGAGTTGCCGTGAGCAATGTTAGCAAAGGGGCCAGCATGCACAAAGACAGGAGTCCCCTACAGAAGTAAAAGGACAAATTAAAGCTCCAAAAGACAGGCAGAAAAACAGAAGTGAGCACCAATTTGGAGCACGTAAAATGGAATGCACTGTTGGGTATTTTTTTGCTTTTCTTTACACTGCAAATTCAATGCATAAGAGCTTGCAAACAGTTAAAAGACCCTGAGTCACTCAAAAGAACACTGGGTGGGTGGCACTGAACTATATATCCCCAGACCTTTTTCATTTTGAGATAGAGTCTCACTAAAGTCACTAAGTTTCAGAAATTGGGCTGGAATTCATGACCCTGTACCTCAGTTCCCAAATAGCTGGAATTATAATCATATATCACCACTCCCTACTCAAAATTGTTTTTTATTTTTATTTTTTTTGGCACCAGGGATCAAACTCACGACCTCACACTTGCCAGACAGGTGCTTATGCCACTAAGCTAAATTCCCAGTTCCTCAAAATTCTTAATACAGTGCTATTTTATGTAATGCTGAACCAGATACTGAAGTTGTGACAGTCATTTCCTGCTGTAATTTTGATTAGCTACTGTTAGCTGTCTAGTGACCATGAAATAAACTATCTTATTTCATACTTCTTTGCATTGTATTTTTGAAAAAAATGGAGTTACACTCTGCTGGTCTAAGAGGCTTCCCTATTAAGAAATCAGTTTAAGAAAAATCTCAAGGATACAAATCAAATATAGGGATCGTGGCATACCAACTACCTTAAGATCAAGTTTAGACCTTTTTTTAAAGGCCATTTTTATTTTGATAATAAAGTTTATATTCTAATTTTTAAAAGTTCTGTTTCTGTTTTTTTCTTGTTAAACTATCATACATTGTTATAACAAAAGAAATGGCAAATTTCACTTGTAGTAAAATACAACAGTAATTATTATTAATAAAAAATAGGAACCAATACAAGGAAATCATCAAAAACTTCAGATTTTAATTATTTAAACATAACTTTAACATATAAATTTTAATGGTATTTCTACACATTCGTCTTTATTAATGACAACAGACTTTAGCTTCATCTAAAAAGCATTTACTCTCATGCATCAAAACGGTCAGGCTCTTTGCAGAGGCCAGCCCGGGCCACTGAAGTCTGTACACATAGGCTTCCTTCCACCTGTGAAAATACAGGCTGCGCCTCTGCTGCCACGGGGAAGGGCAAAGGGCCATGAGCCTGGAGGCTGAGAACCGGGAGAAATTCCCACGAACCCTGACGGGCTGCTAACTGAACGTGGCTCAAAGAGGAGAAAGCTGAACAAAAGCAGGAAGAAAGTTATGAAAGAAAAATCACCTCTGAGAATAAAAGAAGTGAGTTTCTCAAAGCCACTAAGTGAGTTTTCTATTTACTTTTTCTCTGCAGCTCCTCAGGAGGGAAATTGTATCTGAGAAGGTCACAGTGCTGTATGTGGAAATAAAGCCGGGCCTACAGCACTCAGATGTACCTGTTTACCGATATGTATGGAAATATATGTGGGTTCAGCATCTGCCGCTCCATCTTTCTGATAACTAATTTCTTACTTTCATCTAGAGAAATCTCACGTGTAGTCTGTAGGAAATGTTTTTAAAAACGCCTTAAAGTCTCCTTGCCCTCCTTTCCTTGCTGATCTGAGTGTGCTGCTGCCGATGACGCATGAGGAGTTGGCGAGCTTTCTCGAGGACAGATGACAGGCTCCAGCCTGGATGGGCAGCTGGCTTCCTTGTCTTCCCCTATACTGGAACCGCACCTCAGTCATTTGTCAGGGAAGCACTGGGCTCCATTCTCCAGGGACACAAGGGATGGGTGTGGTCAAATCAGCTCAAATATCTCTATTCCTGGGACAACCACTCCAAGTTGCTACTAGATCCAAAGCAGCATTTTAATGGAAATGACTTAAGAGAAAGGGATTTTTATCCTTTGTGGAATGTTCTGAAGTCTGTAAGCAAAGTATTTTTAATTACCTTATAGTTAATACTTATCACTCCATACCTTTAAGAGGTGAAATGCAGTGCTCCAATGTATGCATACCCTGTGGAGTGATCATGCTGGTGTTTGCTTCCACACAGCTTGGCACCACTGGGAAGTCTTCCTAAAAGAGGATGTGCAACCCTGGTCTTCTTTTTTGTTTTATCTTTGGGCGGGGCGGGTTACCAGGAATCGAACTAAGGACCTTGAGCTTGCCAGGCAGGTGCTTATATCATTGAGCTATGTCCCCGGCCCCTCTCCTTCTCTCTGTATGCCAGCTGTGGCTTTGCTCCACTACAAACTCCTGCCATGATGCGCTGCTTTACAAGAGGTCCAGACCAAGAGGGCCAAGCAGTCATAGACTGAAACCTCCACAGCAAAGAACCAAAGAAAACCTTTCCTCCTTATCAGGGATTTGTTACAGTTAACAGATAAACGAGATAGATTACATCAAAATAATTCACAAATCCATTATCTCACATATTAATATTAGTAGTGAGAACATATAAAACCCATTCTCTGGGCAATTCTGAAACATATACAGTCAGCCAAAAATGTATACATCAGGAAAAGAAAAACTTGCATAAATATTTTAATACTATATTTACTGAGACATCATGAGATTAATACAAATTACCTTTGGCCCCTACAATTACCATACGTGCTCAAAGTGGTGGCTATTAGCTTCCGGACATTTATTATTACAGTGGACTGTTGATGTGTGCATATATTTTTTTTTGGCTGACTCTGTATAACACATTATTATTAATTATGTTCACTTTGTTGTACGACAGATCTCAGAAAACTTATTCCTCTTGTCTAACTAAAACTATGTACCATCTGGTTGACTTGTCTTTATTCACTCCCACACCTACCCTGTGGTAACCACCACTGTACTTTGTACTTGAAGAAAGCGTCTTCTAATTGTGAAAAAAATGTACTATTAGCAAGACAGGTATTATGGTCCACCCTTTAATCCTACCACTCTGGGAGATTGAGACAAGAGGATGACAAATTCTAGCTCAGCCTGGATAGCTTAACAATTTACCAAGACCTTATCTCCAAAATAAAAAAAAGAGCTAAGTAACTCAGTATAAAGGTCCTTGGTTCATTTCACCAGTACCAGTGGGGAGGAGGGTGATTAGTTAAAAAAACTTTAGTCATAAAACTATATAATATAAGAAGGGGCCAACCTCCTCTTCACATGGGAAGCCTAAGGTCCTTTCCAGAGCTAAAGGAATGTTTCAAGACCCACAGCAGATTAATAACTAACTCAAGATTACAGCTCTGTTTTTGAAACTCCCACTGTGGAGTTTTAATGGAAAAGTTATTAAAACAGCATTGCTACATATTCAAACACAAGAATATATATATCTCTTTCTATATATACATTCAATGATGGATGTAGCTACAAAATACAGTAATTTAAGTTAAATACATTGCATAAGACATTCTGTGACTAATTCAAAGGTACAAAAATATTTATCTTGAGTTCAGTGTTTTATTTTACATGCCCAACACTTAGAAAAGTACTGCAAAAACTATCTTGGCTTCTCAAAATGACAAAACTATGAATATTCTCTATAATGGACTTTGCAAACACTTCATAAGATTAATACTTCAAGTAGTTCATTGCTCACCAGAACTCACCAGAGCCTTGTCTACAACAACTTTCTACAGCCAGATGTGGGGGCGCACACCTGTAATCCCAGCAGCCGGGAGGCCAAGGCAGGAGAACTGCACTGAGTTTGAAGCCAGCCTGGACTACACAGTGAGCTCACTGGGCTACACAGTGAGGCCGTCCTGTCTAAAACAACCAAAAATGACAAAAGCCTAAAAAAACCCCAGAAGAACTTTGTACAGTAGCCACTGGACCCATGTAGCTACCAAGTACATAAAATGTGGCTACAGAATAAAATGTGGTTAACATGAATGAAGAAATGAATTTCTAAATTTTGGACTGAAATAGCTGAATGTGGCTAGTGGCTGCCATAGTGGACAGCACACTCCAGCAAGTGCACACTTAACCCAGGAGCCCACAGACATCTCTCAATTTCTGCTCGTGCTAATCAAGTCCTCCAAAGGTCCTCAGACTGGCCCTTCGTGAGGTCCACCTGGGGTAGCCAGGCCCAGTTCCAGTCTGTATCCTCTCTACTCCCAGGCGCTGCTAAGTGCAGCCAGGCTGGGAACCACCGGTCTCCTGGCAATCTGCAGCACGGCAGCCCCCGATGTGACTAACGATCAGGTGTGTTCAGTAACAGCACTGGGGCACAATTCGAAGGTCATCAGTGATTTTTTAGATTATTAATGTAGATTTCCAGGATCAGTGATTAGCTACATTAATTCCAGAGTGACTGCAGATTCAAGACAGCAGAATTCATACATGCACATTTTTAAAGTGAATACTGTGTTCTGCCTCTTCAACAAGGCCCACTATCTGTTCAAGTAATCTCAAACCATCCTGTGCCTTAAGTGAAAAATAGACACAAATGTGAGTTTAGTAACACAATCTATTGTTTCACTCATTAAATGCAAGAGTTTCTGCACGGGACATGTCTTAGAGGTACAAGTAATCTTTCACACAGCACCTAGTTATTTAAAACAACCAAGTAAGGGGCTGGGGATTTAGCTCAGTGGCATAAGCACCTGCCTTGCAAGCAGGTGGTTGTTGAGTTCGATCACCCATACCGATTAAAAAAAAAAAAGACAAAAAAAAAAAAAATAAAACAACCAAATATGTCTAATAAGTTTCTTGCTGTAAAAAATTTGTTTATTTGTTTTCGTTTTTTTTTGTCTTTTTCGTTTTTTATCGGTACCAGGGATCGAACTCACAACTGCCTGCTTACAAGGCAGGCGCTTATGCCGCTAAGCTAAATCCCCAGCCCTGTTTTGTTTCCTTTTGATGATTCTGGGGATTGAGCCCAGTACCCCTAACAGGACAGGTACCAGAAGTCCGAAGCACACATGGTGAGCTATGCCAACTGTGCTGAGTGTCAACTAAGAGAGAAAGGAAGATGTGGTCACACAGAGAGACAGGAACCTTGACAAGTGCCATTGGGACAGGCCGAACCTGGTGTTAGCCAGCTGGGACACCAGTGACAGCAAAGGGTGTATTAGGTGTCAAAATGCTACTGCTCTAGTTCTTGGGACTGGCTTTGGTGGTTTTCAGATGCGAGGAGGAGCGAGGAGCGAGTCTGTGCGCTGATGATCAGATGGAGGGAGGCCTTTGGCGCCTGCCATACCCCACTGCCACTCACCTGGGGCTGCAGGTTTCCGTCGAAGCAGTGCTTCGGCTCCAGCCACCTCTCTCAGGGGAGGCTGCTCTGCTGCGCCTGCACTTGGTTCCTTGCAGCTCTGGTGTTATCATTTCCTACACACTGGCTTTTTGCTCTCCCTGTGCAGACCCTTGGCTGCTTTCCTGCCCACAGAACTCTGCACAGTGGTCACCCTCTGCCCCGAGGGGCATGCATCTCACTTCCTCAGAGATCATCTCTGCCTGGGATTCACTTGATGAACAGGCAGGTGGCAGCTCCTGTTCCTCATGTTCCATACACAGGTCACCCTGTTCCTCATGCCTCTCTTCTGTCCTTCTACCAACTAATGAGCTGTATAATTATCTGTCTCTTATCTGCTTCCTACAACATTGGAGGTCTCAAAGGGCTGGGACTTTGTATTGGGACTCCTCTAACTGGCCCATGTCATGTGATAAATACATATTCAGTCTTCAAAGTAACTCTAGGGGAGTAGCCGTCATCACTATTGTCACTTTCCATGGGAGAAATTGAGGCTGGCATATTAAAAATAAGGTCAGGTGACAGCTGAAAACAGTAGTGTCCACTCCAGCACGGCCTTTTGCAGGCTGAATAAATGGGTGAACATTCCACTGGTATATGTGCTGTGTCCCTAGCAAACTTGCCCTCGGGTCACCTTCGCGGTCTCTCCCATTGTAGCTTGAGAAGAAACAACCTATTTGGAAAAATGATGGTGCACAAATTCTCTCAAATCCACGTCTGGTGATATACAGAAGGGAGTCAAACCAGGCCACAACAGGAAGATTTACTTGGCACCCAGCAAATACTACAAGCAAGGAACTTTTCCGCCCGAGAGTTCTGTGAAAACACCGGCCAGGCTCCCACTGGACCCTTTGTTCCCAATGTGTCTCTTTGTTTAGACCAAACTAGAACCTGCCTCCTTGTTTGGGCCCAAATCCTGGGGTTCGATTAGTTAAATGGAAGAAAATGGATAGTTCCTAATTCACTTGAGTATGATCAAGGACTAGAAAATGAAATCAAAATAGTCATCTTGATGCAAAAACTTCAGTTCCATAAAAACGGGACCAAGATTTCAGTTCAATGTTTTTATATGAAAGAACAATAATAATATCTTCCTAAAAGTAAAGCACAGCACACTTTCCAAGAAAATATTCATTGGCATTTACTGTATTTTGCTTGGGAAAAAAACCAAACAAACCAGAAAATCTAAAACCTAATGACTGGGGATTAAGCAAAAGAAAAAAATGCAAAACAGAAAATGCCACACAAACACAGTCACACGAGCTGTTGAGATACTAGACACACTGACATTCTACTCTAGTTAATTAAGCCAAGATTTGAAGCGTACCTAAGAATGTACACATTTATTTTTAACTTTTTTTTTTTGAGATGATCAAAAGTTATTTTTTTGTTTTGTTTTGTTTTAGTACCAGGGATCGAACTCATAACCTGGTGTTTGCCAGGCAGACACTATGCTGCTGAGCTATAACCCTGGTGATCAAGAAGTTATTCTGATGCTCCATGGCTAACCACGCTCACATTCTGTGGTCACAGAGGCAAGCAAATTAAGACGAATGCTAGAAATGACTACTATCAAATGAAAATCACTTACTTCAAGGGTCTGCATTAGATTTGGTTTTATTGCGTCTTTCATCAAAACTGTCAAAGCACCGGTCACCCCCTACAGGAGACAGAGAAAAAGAAACTTCCATTACTGACAAAATATGGGCAATGGCTGACCTTGGGGCCCTTTCTGACCAGACTGTATTCTAGGCCGGTATTCCCCTAGGCTGCCCTGGGCTACTGGAATGAAGATTCAGGGGACACAGGGCTGCTGTCTTTGGCTACCTTCTCCCTACTATAGCCAAGAATGGATGGCGGTCAATCCAAGATGGCGGGACAGTGGGTAAGCAGGAGTCCTGGCTCTTCTCTCCAGACCTGCTGGGAAGGTGGTTAGGAGGCTTACTGTAAAACAGATCTGCTGAAGGTTGTCTTTTTGAGACAGGGTCTCATTACATAGTGCAGGCTGGTCTTGAACTCACTCATGTAGTCCAGGCTAGCCTCAAATTAACAGTGATCCTCCTGCCTCAGTCTCCTGAGTGTTGGGATTACAGGTGTGTACTATGTCATGCCTCACTTCCTAAGTATTCATATGAATTCTAAACGTATTTCCTGTCACTTAGACACATTCAATTTTCATTGTCCAGAGAAGTAAGAGAAAGATCTAAAACTCAGATGACAGAGTGGGAATTGAGAGACATTAGGGGAAGCATTGGGCTGTACTCTGGCTTACACAGCTGTGCCAGAAAGGCTTCTAGTTTGTATCTGAAAGGTGTCACATTCTCATCCCTCACTCTGTAGAGTGCAGCTAAAGCCACCTACTCCTGAAAGGCGCATTTTTTGAATCCTACCAAACTTCCCTCAAAGTCCCCTTGGAGAGAAGAAGATGGGGGGCCTGGGAAGATACATGAGAATTAAGGTGAAAAGTGTGCCCAAGAATAGCATGAGGTTAGTGTTTTTTAAATGAGAAGACACTGGTTAATCTCTTTTTTCAGAGAAACTCCTTTTCATGCTAAGGACTCTGAGCAGCACCTGCCATATCCAACAAATTAAGGCTGGGCATGGCACAACATACCTGTAATCCTAGCACCCTGGGAGGCTGAGGCAGAAGGATCGCTAGTTTGAGCCCAGACTGAGAATCTGAGGGAGAATAGGTTTCAGAATAAAAAGGGTTGGGATGGAGCTCCGTGTGAAGGACAGGGGTTCATTCCCTAGCACTGCTCCCTCCCCAGGTCATCAGCAGTGACTAGGAGGCCGTAACCTGAGCAAAGGCAGCAGTGCTATGCTTTGCTGCGCCCGCATGCAGAACACGCACAGCACTGTTTCACTGTGGGTCCCCTCAGCTCTAACAGGTAAAGCAGTACAAGCTAAGGTATCTCTATCACTCTGGAATGAGGCCCTTCCCCCTCGATTCCTATCACCAATAATGTCAAATGTTTCTATCTGAGAAGTTTCTACTTTTATAATACTTAATCAGCTACACGACTACCTGCTCACCTCCTACAGCAAACCTCCTCTGTGGTGGCCTCTTCCATGCTGGGTGTTACCAAACCCATTGGAAGAGAGCTTTACCCATGGAGGCTGTCATATCTGTGTAAGGGATGCCCCCCAGATCCATATCCCATGTCCATGGGGGTAGAGTGTGATCATCTTCCTGGGTACATAAGAATGATATATTGAGGGCTGGGGAATTAGCTCAGTGGCACAAGTGCCTGCCCAGCAAGTGTGAGATTGTTCAATCCTGGGCAATAAAAAAAGAGCGACACACTTGTAAGAAACTAAGCAGCTTCTAACATTCACCCTGTTTTCTAGTAATGATCTTCAATGGTAGCTCCAACTGGATGAAGCACAATTTGAAGAAATCAGCCACTTTTTTTGCAAACAAGAAACACACAAGATGCCATGTGTGGTGAAACAAGCCTGTAATCCCAGCACTCCAGAGGCCGAGGCAGAAGAATCACTGCAAGTTTGAAACCAGCATTTACAAAGTAAAGGCAAGATCAGCCTGAACTATATAAGACGACCTTGTTTCAAAGAAAGAAAGAGAGAGAGAGAGAGAGAGAGAGAGAAGACTTTAACCTTATGGAAATATCTGATGATTAAATTGCAAACCCTTCTGACATGTATTTATTACTATCTAATATGAAAAGGATACAGAGAAACATATACAGAAACTATAATGTTACTGTAGGAAGAAATGGTGAGATTTGGGTAATTTTTGAAAGCAGCAAATTACTGTGCAGTAATTCTTATTTGTGCTTTTTCTTTAAGCTTTATATAGTACTACAGATTCCATAGGGTTGCTGCATAAACATCCTTATTTCATCTACTTGACAGCACTTGTGAGATGAGTCACTCAGATTTATTTCTTCAAAAGCAGCCAAAAAGTAATCAAGACACTTTGGCAGAGGATTCAAATTATACCCTAAGCCCTTGGAGTAAATCAATAAAACATTACTTTGCCTGGCCCCTTTCACAACTGCTTTTCAAGCGTGTTTCCGTCTTAGGTTCTGTTCTTCCATGTGGCTTGGTATAGAGGGAGCAAGCTTCCACTTAGAGTAATGGCTGTCCTAAGCTGGCCCCTGTGGGCAACTGAGGCTCTTTTCTTTTGGCTTTTTTGAGACAGAGTCTTACTATGTAGCCCAGGCTGGCCCTGAACTTATAATGATCCTTCTGCCTCAATCTCCCAATTGCAGAGATAACATGTATGCACCACCACGCGTGGCAGCAACTGGGGCTCATGTCCACCATAAGGGTTGTTAGTAAAAAGAAGAGGGACGTTAGAGTAGCATATTAAACATTGAAACAGGCATCAGTGCACCTGTCACTCTTGAAGTTCTACAGAGACCACTGAACTCAACAGAGGAGTTAGAAGACTAAGACAGATGGAGGCCAAGACTTGCTTTTATTGTATGAAATGCTGAAGTATGACACTAAAAAACAAACCTGGGAGCAGTTGGTGCTGAAAATGTGCCAATTCCTGAGGGCAGAGTCACTTCTATCTCTTGGAAAGGTGACTCCTCCACCCCATTGAAGGCAGGTATAAATTATACATTTTTAAAAAGTCACCAAACATACAACCTCAGCTCTGGCAGAAGCAGGGATCAAGACCAGGGAGAATAATGAAAGCTCACAAAATGACTGTGATGTATTTTGGTTACAGCCAGGGGCAACCACATGATAAACGCTCTCACTGCATTTAACAGTGCAAAGCTGCAAGGCAAAGAAGCTTGTGGAGAAAAGAATCTGTGTGCAGAAACTCTCTGAATCCCCACCCATGTGTCGCTGAACTTCCACTGTCTCGATGGATAGGCAGCTCTCAGGGGCCTCTGAAGAATACTCACCAAGTCCTCTGCTGTCACAGGCTGCCCGTTTTTGTCACAGGCCACCACCATCCTTCCCAGCCGCTCCTTCATGTCCTTGAGGCTGTCTGTCAGGGCCAGCACTGCCATGATTTCACTGGCCACGGCAATGTCAAACTGCGCCTGTCAGGTCAAAGCAAAAGCAGCAGTTAGCGACAGTGCCACATAGATGGTGCTTTCCACAGGGACGGGGTCTCCTGCAAGGAAGCGGAGGTGTGTGTGCACTTATGTTGGAGTATGCAGAGCATGCAGGTTGTGCTGAGTGCCATCTGGGTAGCCGACCATGATGATCACGCTGGCCACTGTGCTCTGCTCAGCAGGAGTCAGCTCCCTGGGGTTCCTGCTCATAGTGTGCTTAGGGAGCCTGTCTCAGACCTTTGACTAAGTCGTAATATCATTCCCTATCTAATGTGTCTTTGCGCAGGCTGCTGAAGTGCCACGAAGTGGTGACCACGATGTGATTCACTGCTGAACTCAAGGAACATTGAGCAGCCTATCCATCACCTCCACTGCACTGCTCTTTCCATCAGAAATGGAGCAGATGGCACAATAGGACAGTCCTGCTCGCTTCCCACATGTGAGGCCAATTTCGCAAAGTTACAACTCAGCACAGCAGCCACAGAAGCAAATTCCAGCTGCCTACGGGGGTATGGCCACGTCAGAGCACCAGGCGCCCAGCCACAGCCACAGCCACAGAGAACGGCGACTCTGAAAAGTTCCCAGAACTTCTTCCCGCTTGGCTCTGACTCCAGGCTGTCTGAAGTCTGAAGGGAGCTCAAAGGGACACAAGCACGCCTTCCCTTCCTCATGATGCAGTCACTGGAAAAGTTTCTCTGGATAAAACCGCTTCATGAAGCTCCAGCCTAATTCCCTTCTTCCCAAGGGGAATGCCGGCCAGACGGGTTCAAGATTTACACACAGGAAAATCGCTGTGCCCTGGTGCGGTCACTGCATGGGGTGTTGTATTACCCACTTCCAGCACCGCCAAGTGAGGAAAGCAGTAAGGAGCCATAATTTAATGAAAATGTATTTCCTGAAAGTCAAGTACTACTGTATTCAATTATTACTGTCTCAATATAACTCATTCTAAACATAAGTGATTTTTCATTGTATGAAATCTAGGACTCTTTTCTATTATAAACAGTGCATGTAAGAAAATGACTAAAACTAGTGAGAATACTGTGTAAAACACAAGACTGGGAATACGCTCAAAAAAAAATTAACAGCGTAAATCAGAAGCACAGTTTATAATACACATACATTCTTCATTTGTCATTGTTTTACAGTTTCAAAAAATTTTAACTAGATTACCAAAACAATCTCAAACAGAGCCAATTTAAATATCATTAAACTCATTTTACTAACTGAATAATGTACACAGTAGAAGACTGCTCAGTTATTTTGCAAATAAAATGTTTCAAAATCACATCAAAGGGAAAATGAGATTCTTTCTGTTTGTAAAATTTTCACAAATTACACAAGGGACAATATACAATGCTGTCTGGTATGTCAGCTGATTTAGCTTTCCTGGAAGAAATGTACATTAACCTATGAAATTCTCATCCATGAGAACTCTGCATTATACCTCTCTGATTTGTCCAAAAGACATAAGAAAAGTATACACATGAACATGCTCTTACATTCCCTGTAACTTTCTTAGGAGAGCTAGCCCTATAAATGTCCATTAGCAGGGAATTGTGGGCTCAATTACTGTACATCTATGAGACAAGGTAAAAATAATGATGTGGCTCTATTCAATGCTAGATGTTCTTCATAAACTCTTATACTTGTCTTATAAATAACATAATCTTTTTTTACTTAAAAATATGTATAAAGCAATACAAAATATAACCTTGGGAAAATCAGTTAACATGCTTCTACTTTTTTACTGTAAATCCGATTTATGAACTGGCTATGCTAATGTATACAACAGAACTATCAATACAAGGACCTCGGCAAACATTCAAACCACAGCAGCTGCTAATCTCCCGCCTTTCTAGGATTAGCTAAACAGTATGAAAATCGTATGTACTGACAAGAGGAAAGACCTTCTTTTTTTCTCCTTTTTTCCCCCACCCACTTTTCAGAGGCAACTAGATTTTTAAAATCTTTTCCACTTCATAGTCACTGTGAGAGTTCTATTTACGTCATTTCACCTATATAATCACTGTGATCAATTCTTATGTGTATGTATGTACAGAGGACGTGCCATACATGTGTCACAGTGTCTAATGATGGATATCTGGACTATTTCAAACATTCTGTTACAAATAAAACTGCAACTTATACCTGGCATTAAATTTTTTTCTCTTCTCATTTTGTTTCCTCCAAAATAATTTTGAAGCAGTAATTTTAGGGTTATTTCAAATTTTAACACTAACAGTCATCCAAAAAGGCTTTGGCAATTTCTGGCCCCACTAAAAAGTCTATTTTCTTACACTTTGCTAACTTTTAGCGTTAACTATTTATGTTTTGATAAGCTCATAGATAATACAGTAATACTTCACTGTGGTTTTGCTGTTTTATGAATCTTTTTACATGATGGCTTTTCACTTCTGTACCTGCAGACTGCTTTTTCATTCTACTTAGAGTATTTATTCACCTAATATTTATTGAACACATATTACCACCAAGTGGGACAGGTCAATGCGCGTTATTTATTTACCTATTTATCGGTACCGGGGATCGAACTCACAACCGCGTGCTTGCAAGACAGGCACTTATGCCGCTGAGCTAAATCCCCAGCTCCAGTGTGGGTTATTTATATATTTAGATTTCCCCTGGTACCTGGAACTGAAACCAGGACCTCCGTATTTACCTGGTCCCCATGAGAGCCCTCTGGGGAAATGACAAGGGCCCGACCCTCTTCCCCAGAGGGTCACATATCCTAGTGTCCTTTGAATAACACACTGTCACTGACAGCTGCTGGCCAGGGGACGTGGTAGACACAGGTCTGGCTGGTATGTCTTGGCTCACTTGCGGCTGGGCAGGGAGACTGTCACTGGCCTGAGGCTCACACTCAGTCCCAGCCTGTGACATGAGTACCCGGGCTGCAGCAGCACAGGTGTTACAGGAAGACGCCCACCCCCAACGCTGACCTGCCTCTCCCTGCCTGAGAGCTCGGGTTCCGCCTGCCTCTGAAGTGAGACGCTCCTCAAGCAGTCCTACCATAGTTTGCAGTGTCCCTCTGCCCATCAATCCAGTGCTTTCCATCCTCCCATCCTTAAGAAATGCATCCTCCCAAACTTGATAGCAACAACTCTGCTTTTCTAGGTCGGATACTGACTGGACTGAGCACAAGCAAGTACCAGGGGCTGATGGAGGAAGGTGGAACATGGACCTAGTTTGTCTTCTAGGTCAATCCCTGTATGTATTTCAAAATATTTCCAAAGGTCCCAAAGTCTGTTTGAAATGCAGACTAGATATTATTGTAAAAGTGCTTTTTTTCCTGCAATCACTAATAAAAACTTAAAGACTATAAATCTATAACTTTTCAAATATATAAAGTTTATTATAAAAAAATCAGAGGCCTGCTCTACCTTGCTAAAAAAAATATGGAATGAATTTATATTCCCTAAGTGCCTCTGACTCACAGCCGAGGCCCGTAAAAGGAAAGGAGATCTCATTTCCCCCTCGTTCTCCGTATTTGGATGATAACCCATTATCCTTGAGATGTTCCCCAAGCTATTAAGCCTGATAACTGTTTCTTTTTTTGGTTTATGAAATTCAGGTAATGTGTCTGCAATGCTCATTTAGCCGTTATGCAGATGCAGTAGAAAGTCATGGGTTTCCCACACAATAGTCAAAGATTTTGTATTCAAGGACCCCCACCCCAGCTCATCTCGAAGAAGAGGGCACAGGAAGGGGACCCCGGATCCCCTGCCTCCTAATGCTCTCTCCCCATCCCAGTTCCTCTTAAACCAGAAATGCACTGTGACACTGGGCAAGCCAGGGGCAGGGCAGGCAGGGATTAGACAACACGGGAATGGACTGAGAAAAGGAATGCAGACATGGCGGAAACTGAGGCAAGGCAGAAACCGAGGCGAGGAGGAACAGAGCAGATTCCAGGACGGAAGAAGGTGCACCTACCTGCCGGGAACACCCCTTCTCCGTGCCTGCCTGTCCAATTGTTATTTTTCGAAGAAATCGATCATTGGTATCCAACACTGAAAGAGAACAGATTACTTATTCAGTCAGCAAACTGGGATTGGCTGCCTGAGGGACAGAGGAAAAGGCAGAAGAGACAAGGTCTGGCTTCCCCGTAGGAATCAAACACAGACAAAAATATCTGCTAGAACCTTAAGAAGATCAAAGGGGTTTCAGAAAGAAGGTTTCAGGTGCTGGTGAGGATGAGGTTGGGCAGAATGCCCATTAAAATCTGACGGCAAGGAGGAGTACTTCTAAAATGATATTTTACAGGAAATTTGAGTCACAAGAAGTTAAGTTGGTTTCACATAAAGCTAAATGTAACAACTACATGACCCGGTAATCCTACTCCAATGCATTATCCAAAAGAATTGAATGCGTGTATTTGTACACTCAGATTCACAGCACCACTATTCACAACAGTCAAAAGGTAGAAGAAACCTGTGTCAAGTGACAGGTGAACGGATAAACATGTGGTGTGTATCTGCAATGGAGTACTACACAGCTACAAAGAAGAGCATTTTAATCCACGTTACAACATGAATAAAGGTCAGGAACATTATGAATAGTGAAATATGCCAGACGTGGAAATATAGATGTATGATTCCACTTATATGAGGCACCTAGAATAAGCAAATTCATACGAACAGATTGAGGAACAGCAATTATCAGGAGCAGAGGGGGAGTTACTACTTAATAAGGACAGAATTTAGGTTGGGAGTGATGCGGGTTTTGTAATAGTGGGGATGGCATAATTATGGTGAATATTTCATGCCATGAATCGTACATGGTAAATGGTTAAAGTGGTAACTAGGATGATAGGTACATTTTGCCACAATAAAAAAGTATATAGAGAATTCCTGGGGGAAAACAGTTGATCATGATTAGAGTTGGCGCTGATTTTCTTTGTTTCATTGGTTTGTTTGAATTGCAATGATTCGGATTTTGTCAGTGAAAATAAGATTTGGCTTAGTAAAAATCAAATTTACAATGCAGGAAACAAAGCCAGAAGGCCAGAGACTTCACTAATAATTTATGTGGTTTCAAATAACACGCAGCTCAAAGTGACAACTGACACACAACTTACTAAACGGATAATATGGCTCTGACAAAAAGGGTGACAGTGACCATGTACTTAGGGATGGTACAAATCTGCAGGGTAAATGACACTCATCTTCCTGAGACACAAAGCCACAAGCCACATCTATGCAGGAACCCAGAGCACACTCATGCACACATAAACCTGTCTTGTGATCTAAAAACTAAAAGGCCCACTTCGCAATACTGTCACTAGCTCCTACTTTTATTTCCAAGATGCAAAGGAAAAATATCCCCCTTATCTGATGAGTAGAATCTACAATCTTGGCACCAGATTGAAACATCAAATTTCCTTGAAGTTAACAATGGGAATGTGGTTGTTGTCTGTTTTGTTCTGTGCGTGTGTAGCAAAGAGAAAGCAAGCAAGAACAAACAACACAAAGTCTCAGCAGGGTCAGTTATAATCAGTGGCCCTGGCCCGCGTTCAGGTAGCCGACCATTTCTGCCCCATTCTGATATGCAAGGAAAGAAGTGTGTAAAGAGCCAGTGACACACAAACGAGAAAATGTGAAAGTTAATTCTAACCCACAAGAAAAGACAGATGCCAGCCAGCAGCCCCAAGTTAATGACACACAATTCCTGTCCTTTGCACGACTGAGCGGAGTAGAGTAAGCGACCAGTGGGGAAAGAGGCTTCTGTATGGGACACAGGATGAAGCACTCAAGAGATTTTGTACACAGGCTGAAAGAAAGGGGTGGCCATCAAATGGTCTGACCCATCTCATCTGAGGTTTTTAACCTATCCTCCCTCACTGGTGCACAGAGAGTCCCCCCTCTAGATATCAAGTCATCCCAGAATCTAATCTCATCACAAGGGCTACACTAACTCTAAACCAGAAAACTCTGCTGGCAAATGTCCTTAACTCATCTGCTGGAGAATGCTATTGCTCACATCAGCATAAGGTAATCAGAGCCAAACTACCTCTCAAATATCAGTCCAAATTCCTCTGACCCAAGTGGCTTGTCTGTCGCAATAAAGTTTTCTTCACATTAGAGCCCTGAGCAGAAACACAATGCTAGAATTTTTTCTGGAATGATTTTTTAAAGTTGTGACTTTCATTAAAATTGATTTGCAACCACAAAACACTTCAGTTCTTCTGCCTCCTCAGAGAGAAGCCAAGGGCACGCTGGCCCTAGGTGTAAGAGGTGACACTGCCTTTCTCTTCCAATCTATCACTGAGCCACTGTCCTATTTTCTATGGCTGCCCAGACTGAAGTCTCAAAGCAGACAGGGAAGAATGCCATCTGGTGTAGACATTTCACTCAGCACATTCACATGCATGGTTTAAAATATATCAATTTCTGTCTGCATGGTTTTTCTTTTACAAGTAAACCTGTAAAAAAAAAAAAAAAAGTTTTAAAGAATCACACAAACTCAGAAATGCCCTGGGATTGACTATACATTTTGAGTGTATGATATTTTAATAACTAACCTTCCTAGTTAAAATTAAAAAATGAAAAAAAACAGTAGACTTCTCAATAAACTGTTGAAAATATTCAACATTTGTCAGGTTGTTAAAATGCTATCAGCTTCTTCAAGCACAGAACCTAAGAAAGGTATGATTTACCCACAAAAGAATATTTTGGAACCAACAAAAATGGCTGTGTAACAGCTAACCAAAAAACAAAAAATGCTTCTGGTATAAATGAAACTAATAGGACATAACATTTATACACCTAAATTATAACAGAACTACAAAAGAACTAGATGTAACAGGAAAAAAAACTACGAATAGTAGTGCTAGTAGGAAAAGAAGATAGTTTCCCATACTTCTGAAGCTTTTTCTAACATCTGCATAATGGTATTATTTATTTTTAAGTGGAAAACAAACCCACAATAGTTTCAAGGAAATTTTACTTTCTTTTGGAAACATAGAAAGATACGCAAAAACCTTCCACCCCCCCCCCCTATAGATCATCCACGGGCAATGCTTTGCGGTTTGTAAAGCCTGCTCACACTTCTGTAGCACCTCTGATGGGGAGGCTGGTCTGCTACAGGCTGAGCATCTCTAACCTCAAAATCCGAGACGTTCTCAAGTCTGAAGCTTTCTGAGGGCTCACATGACCTCACACTTTGAAATGTTGGTTCATGTACACAATTATTGTATAGACATTGTACAAAATCACTTTCAGGCCCTGTGTAGAAGGTGTCTATAAAGCATCACTTCTGTGTTTAGGCTTAGATATCCCTAAGATATTGCATCATGTATATCCAAATATTCTAACATACAAAATAATATGAACTCTTAGTACCACTTTTGGTCCTAGGCATATGAGATAAAGAGTACTTAACCTGTATTTCATCTTAAAGGCCTTTGAAGTCTCTGGACTTGTCTCTCAACTCTCAGTGGCCTGGCTGAACAGACTCCCCAGGGAGAAGCTTCATAATGGTACCAGTAAGACCTGGGCCAGCTCAGAGAAGGCAAGCCCCAGCTAGGCAGGGGGGCCAGGCGGGCGCAGGCCCTCCTGACTGGAGAGCAGATGGAACTGCTTTACTGAATGGTCACTTTATCACTCAGGAAGACAGGTCAGCATCTCTGTCAAGATGAATGCCCTGACTTTAGGGGACAAACATGAGAATGCACTAAAGATAACAGCTATTAAATCAGGCATTTGGTAAACATATTCTGCAAGTGGGTAGAAACGGGGAATACTAGTGGGAGGCAGGACTGAGAAGGCTATGCCGGGAAAATCAAGAACACACAGCACTGAGAAGGACCCCGCATCACCCGTTTCTGGCACTCAGAGGCTAGAGCAGTGATGCCCTGAGATGCGCTCAGGGGCGTGCAGCCGGCAGGGGCAGGGGCCGGGGCCCACCAGCCCACACTCTGGGGCCTGACTCCCGAGAGCAGCCTTGTGCCACAGTCCCACCCCGCAGTGACTGACCACGTACGGAGCGGAGCGCAGCGTGGGAGCAAGGAGGGGAGGCCCAGCCAGAGGGAGGCAGGGAGGCCGGCAGGGAGCCCAGCAGGAGCCTCGCTGAGCGGCAACTACAAGCGATCAGAGAGACCTGGCCAACAGCTGGAGGCACCTACGGGACAGAAGGAAAGCGCGGCACCGAAGACACCTGGCAGAGAGCTCTGGGGGCTGATGGGGAAGACGAGGAAGGAAGAAACAGGTGCAAGACACGCCCACAGGCCAAGGACTGGAAATGTAGCTTCAGGGCCCTTAAAGATGCAAAGAGAAGGCTAGACATGGTGACACACACTTCTAATCCCAGCACTCAGGAGGCAGAGGCAGAGGCAGGAGGGATCCACGTCGGACCAACTTGGGCTACAAAGTGAGTGCAAGGCCAGCCTGAGCTGCGCAGTGAAACCCTGTCTCAAACAAGCAGAGAAGAGGCTAAGAGTGAGAATGTGGGGGAAGGAGCCCAGACAGCAGTTGGCTTAAACAAAAGGCAAGGAGGAAGTAAAAATACGAGCAATGGGAAGAGAAGCGGGATTATGAAATCCCAGTGGGGAGTCCACGGCGCCACAGACACGACATAACACCGTGCGTTTATGAAGTTAACTGGCCAGCTCCAGCAGAGCGGACTCTGCACGGCCTTGCTCCGCGCCCCTCCTCCCCTCTCCTCCCCCGGCGTGGCTCCACAGCACCCACCTCTCTGCCACGTGATGGTAGTGGGGTCAATGTTAAGACGCGCGAACCTGCTCACTTCCTCTTCAGTCAGTGTGCTTGGATCAGTCTTATTGATCCCCAGTTTCTAATGATAAAAAAAAATGTGATAGGTTTGAGAAGGAACAGAAGGTGAAAAGTAAGCATACTCTTGTCTCTTTATTTTCTCCATATTTAGTAAAGCTTTTTTTTAAAAAACTCTACTTTGAGTAAATCGCAGGTTAGGTCGAATCCTATCATAAATGCCTACGTCCAGATATTTTCTGCAAGTGGAAGACTGAAAACCTGTTAACAGATCCTTAACATGGCAGATCTGGAACCCAAGTCAGTGTGCCTTGTTACTGGCTGTCTCTGCTGGGTGTGGGTGTGCGTGTGCGTGCGTGCATGCGTGCGTGTGTGTCCAGGCTGCTGTGTGGCTAGCACTGCCCATGCTTAGACGGGGCATGCACTACTGTCCACATGATTGATGCTTTAGTTCATTAGTTCTCCTTGTCAGTATAAACAGCAAAAAATGGCTAGGCCTGAAAGGCAGCCTGTAATCCCAGCTCTAGGGAGGCTGAGGCAGAAGGACTGCATGATTTCAAGGTCAGCCTCAATTACACAGTGAGACCCTGTCTCAAAAATAACAATAATTCAAGTATGTTTAAGTTTCAAAATAAGCTATTTCTAAGACACTAAGAAAAAAATTTAAACATGCATTTATTTCTGTAAAGAAAATATCCTAAGAAAGTCTATCTTAATGAAATATGAAAGAAAGGAATCCAGGAAGCAGAAACTGGGTATGATGTAGCTGTAGAGGTTGAGAGCTGTTCCTCAACAAATGGAACACGGCTCAGGAACAAGCACGGAGTGAACTTAAAAAGCCATTTAGTACCAGTTGGTTCTAAATGATACAATGAACGGTTATTCTTCAGATTCTGACAAAGTGCTTGGGAAAGCAGTGTGAGAAGCAGCAAATGGGACTCAAAACAGGTCACATGGGGAAGAATCTCAGTGTCTTCCGCTAGCATGAGGAGGGCACCTTGCTGTAACATGAAACTGAGACAGGCTACCTTATCTTTTCTTAGAAATTTAACAAATACAACAATACTTCTCTTTAAAGAGAGGCTGCATGAAAATTTAATTTGTTATTTTGACTAGGTACTCACAGACTAGCAAAGCAGTCCTTTTATTTCATACGTGAAGAAAAAGACTCCTAGAAGGTTAGTTATTTGTTCACTGGCTCTTGGCTGTGGGATTCAGGTTTCAGGCTTCAAATACTGTGCTCTGTTAGTTAAACTGTTTTCTCTAAGATTTTAATACCCCAAAGAGTGTAAAAAACCAAAATCAAGTCAAGTTCAAAATTTCTGGCTTTGGCATTACTTCTGACATATTCATAGGGTATTTTCTGTTCATTTTGAAGAACACAAAAACTGGAAACTTACTTTTAGTCGAGCAACTTGAATTTCTGAAAATTCTCTGACACCATTCACTAAAGGAACCAGTCGATTATAAAGAGCCTGAGAAAACAAAAATAAAACACAAAAGTTTAAGGGTCAACTATGTATCTGGACAATTCACAGGACATGACAAAGTTCATTCCCTTGAGAGCCAAAGTATTTAGATTACAGGTCTTATTAAAATTTTGAGGCTAATATAAACAATGCAGACTTAAATGCTGTCATTAGTAAAACTGCCTAAATATGAAATAATGCACACTGCAAAGATTTTGAATAAATATGATTCTTGAGCTACGGTCCTAAAACTCAAATTAACATTTATCCAGACTCTATTTCCAAGACTCACTAGGGAATTAGTTTAAATGAAGAAAGTCAGGACTCTTGAAAAACATCCCCAAAAGTACCCTTCCTATCCACGTCCTACGTCTGGCAGCTGGTACTCTGTCTTTCCATGTGTTTGACTGAGCTCTTAACCTATACACATGTGAAACCCAGAAAGTTATCTCTGACCTCTTTCACAGTCCATCTTCGATAGATGCCTGTAACATTAATCATAAAAAGATACTATTTCTCCAGTCTCCCTTTTGGTACAGAGCAGAGAATGGACTCAAGGCCAGGATGAAGAGATGTGATTCACCAAAGACCTTTAAAACTAAAGACTCAACTACAATTTGGCTTTAAAAGTACAGCATAATACAATTTTCCAACAACTTGGCAGTGGTCATAAACCCAGATGATAAATATGACCAAAGTGTGCCTTTACCTTAGGAGTGTAAGGTAAAGGAATATAAATGGGGATATTGTAAAATTTGCAAAATCTTCAGTAAAACTTCAGTTTACAGACTCTACAAGTCTTTCCATGAATGCCTAAAGAATCTAAGAATCCCAGAATAACTTCCTGAAAACAGCTAACTAGGAATTCTTCTCACCTTATCTGTTTGAGTATTTTCATGCAAAATCCTTGTGTCAATGGCCGCAGCCAGCAAGTTATTGGCGGCAGTAATGGCATGGATGTCTCCGGTCAAGTGCAGGTTGAACTGTAAATGGAAAAAAAATCTTTCTATTGGTTTCAAACATCTCTGGCATTATTCAAGGACTGGCTGGATAAGTTAAATAATATGGGAAGTGTGTATCTTTATAATGCACCGAGTCCATAGACAGCCTTAGTCAGAAGGCAATGCCATGTCCTTCCACGTGACTACAAAGAAATCCTGAGCAGTCGCTCATCACCAATTCTTCCATTCTCAGGTGAAAGGTGACACATTTCGATAGATTTATCTTTTCCCTCTAATTTTGGTTCTTTATTTTCACTTTTTTTCACTTCCATAAATCATTTTATTAAGAAAACAGTACAATATCCAAAATACTTTGGAATAAGACAAGGCATACAATAAATGTAACAACCCATCAATATATATTAAAGAAACACTAAAAAGTAATATCATTTCCATAACTACTAATTCTGCTATTTTCCTTCTATGCTTATACCCACATGTGATCTTTATTTGTATAGTCAGTATGCTTCTAATTATAAATCTCTTTGTTGAAAAATTACTGCAGGCTGAGCATTCCTAATTCAAAAATCCAAAATCTAAAGTGCTTCAAAGTCTCAGATGTTCTGAGCACAGACATCATGATGATGTAAGTAGAAAACTCCATGCCATGAAACTGTTCCATGCACAAAATTATTAGAAATATTGTATAAAAGTATATGCTGGCTATGTGTATAAGGTATGTATAAAACATGAATGAATATTATGCTTAGATGTGGGGCTCATCTCAAAGATATATCATAAATATGTGACTATGTCAATATTCAAAAAATCTGGTATCTGAAATACTTCTGGTCCCAGGTATTTTAGCTAAGGGACATTTCATCTGTGTTCTTTAAAAATATGTGTGCATAGTTGCAGTTTATAGGGGCTACATAATTGAGCAGATGTACCAAAAGTTTTGGCTCCCTATACCTGGATATTTAGGGTGCTTTTAAATTTTGATTTTTGTGAAAAATACTACAATTATAAAGAACATATGCAAATAGCTTTTTCTTTAAAAATTTAATTTCTAATAAGCAACATTCCAGGAATTAGAGCTTGGTAATGTCACAAAACTGTTTTTTTGAAAAGCTGAAGTGTCATCTGAAAAACACTAGTAAAGATCCATTACTTTAGCTGGGTGTGGTGGCGCACCCCTGCAATCTCAGCACTCAGGAGGCTGAGGCAGGAGGATTGTTGCAAATTGCAGACCAGCTTGGGCTACAAAGTGAGCTCAAGGTCAGCCTGAATTGCATAACAAGACCTTTTCTCAAAAAGACCAATAATAAAAATAATACAAAATAAAATTTGAAAAATCCATTACTTCTGAAACAAAGTAAAATGCAGACAAAAAAAGAATTAATAGAAAGAATGTGGTATTCTGCTTTAAGTTGTATTTTTCTAATATCATGGAAAATTAAACATTTGTATTTCCTTCTTAAAATTTTATTTTACACTGGAAACTTCAGTGCAAAAACACAATCACCATTTGAGAAAACAAAAGAACAAGGTGGTTCCAGAAATTCATGACTCACAAAAAAAAGCTGATCCCATAGAAACTGAACCGAATGGAATTCCAACAAACAATTTAAAAACACCAATAAAAAGATCAATGAATCAAACAAGAGATAAATAAGTGGCTGAATGAATTAAGGAAGACACACAATGCGTATAGGAAGGATGCCTTCAGTGACAAAGGGTCTGAAAACATTCAAACAATTCCTGGAAATAGAAACCTTAATAACAAAAACTCAAGCTTTCAGCAACAGGCAAGATGAATAAGGAGAATTTCAAAACTTGAAGACAAGGTAGACATACAAAACATCCAAACAGTAAAAAAGAAAAAAAAAGCATATAGATTATTGAAGAGCTTGTAGATAACTCTAAGTAAAAAAGTTTAAGATTCACTGACCTAAGAGAAGGCAAGAAAATATAGGATAATTGTATACAAATGTAGTCACTGAAATTACTACAGAAAATCCCCAAATCTGGAAAAGGAGAGGATATTCCTAGTAACAGAGGCATTTAGAACCCTACATAGAGATGATCAAAGGAAGAACACATAGTCGAGTGCCAAACATTCAGAACAAGAAAGAATATTGAAAGCATTTAAAGAGAAATGCTAAATCACCAAGGGAAAATCAATCATAGTATCAGCAGATTTCTCAACAGAAACCTTGCTGGGTGTGGTGGCGCAGGCCTGGATCCTAGCACTTGGGAGGCTGAGGCAAGAGGCTCAGTTTGAATTCGAGGCCAGCCTGGGCTACATAGTGAGACTCTGTCTCCAAAAAATAGCAACAACAAAAATTAGAAACCTTAAAGGCCCTCCAGGCTTGAAACAATGTATTTTAAGCCACATCAAAAAATAATCACCAGCCGGGCATGGTGGCTCAACGTCTGTAATCCCAGCACTCGGGGGGCTGAAGTGGGATGATCATTGTGAGTTTGAGGCCAGCCTGGGCTACAAAGTGAGCTCAAGGCCAGCCTGAACTGCATAGTGAGATCCTGTCTCAAAAAAATCACCAACCCAGATTATAACATATGCAAGGTTATCTTTCAAAATTGAAAGAGAAAGAAAGACCTTCCAGGGTAGGTATACAATTTTTTTGTTGTTGTTTTTGGTACTGTGAATTGAACTCAGGATCTTGAGCTTGCCAGGCAGTTGCTTATGCCATCATCATCAGCTCAGTAAGCATACAATTTTAAAAAGTCATGACCACTAAACCAGCACTGCAACAATATTTATGAAATCCTACACACAGGTGAAGAAGACAGCATCCACAAGATCAAGAGATAGAATAAATTTCACTGGAAGAATAGATACGTGAGAAAGCAGAAATATTAGAAAAACAAAATGGGAAGAGTATAAATGTTTAATAACATTTAATATAAATAGTCTTAATTTCTACTTAGCCTAGTATGCTGGTATACACCTGTAATTCCAGCACTCTGAGAGGCTGATTAGGAAGATTGTAGGCTCAAGACCAGTCTAAAACAACTTAGTGACTTAGAAAGACCTTGCCTCAAAAAAAAAAAATTTTTTTTTAAAGGGCTAGGGGTGTGTAGCTCAGTACGAAGGCCCCAGTTTCAAAGTTAGTACTGCAAAAAGAAAAAAAAAGTACTGCTAGACTGAAACAAAAACAAGACTAGACTGGATCATATGTTGCCTGCACCTCATCTGCAAAGACACACACAGACTCATTATGAAATAGTGGAAAATACATTCTAAGAAGCTGGACCCTAAAACAAGCAGGAATAGTCATATTATATTTAACAAAGTAGCCTACTACATTTTGGTAAAGTGAAAAATTCACGACAATCAGATGACTTTAAATATTCATGCACTGAACATTAGTACATTTAATTTTATAAAGAAACACTACTTAACACAAGACAGGTAGACCCTAAAATAATCACGGAGAGGACTTCCAAAGCCCACTGTCACAAACACATAGATCAACTACGTAAATATCATCAAGGAAGTATCAGAGTTAACACGTTCCCACCAGTGGTTTACGCATGACTGTTCTATTGGGTGGCTTGTACCCCTGGTGGTACAAACAGACGTAATCATTTTTATCAGTCTTTTTACTAATAAAATTAATAAAAAGCCTATAAATGACTTAAATTTAGTTGCTTGAATCTTAATAATTATTGCCCAAATAGAAATATTAATTCTATTTGTAACAATTAAAAGTATTATAATAATCAGTAAGTTTATTTCATTAAATGCAAAGATATATTTATAAATGGTTGATCAATAATTAATTTTCCAAATTTTGGCATGGAAATCTTGTAAGTATCCCATTGCTGGTGTATGTAATATTCATTTACAACTGCTATCCCACAAATTTGCTATATTACAATTTCTTATGCCATTTTAATGTTTTCCTTAATGAACTGTAATATGATGACACTTAGTTTGCCAAATCAATGCCTTTCCTAAAAATTCTTGAGAAGCAGTACAAGCCACCTGATGGGACAGTCATGCTGTAGCAAAGGGGTTCAAGCCAGTGGGTATGACTGAATTCAAGTAAGAGCTGCCTGGCAACTGGACATACGAATTACAAGTCCCATTGGGAATGTGTTTAACTACGTTATGTATCCAGACAAATACAAAGTATTCCTTTCAACTATGACAGAATATATATTCTCATCAGTAGCCTACAGAACTTTCTCCAAAATTGATCATATTTTAGGCCAATAATCATTTTTTTTGTTTGCTTGTTTTTTTGTTTTTGTCTTTTTGAGACAAGGTCTCATTATACAGTTCAGGCAAGTCTTAACCTCACTTTGTAGCCCAGGCTGGTCTCAAACTTCCAAAGATCCTCCTGCCTCAGCCTCCCAAGTGCTGGGATTACAGAGAAGTCACCCCCAGCTTCTTAGGCCAATAGTCTATATATCCTCTCAGATCACAAAAAAGAAACTGGGGCTGGAAATATAGCAGTATAAGCACCTGCCTGGCAAGCGCAAGGTCCTGAATTCGATTCCTGGTTCAAAAAAATCACAGAAACTACACAAATGAATGGAGACTAAATAATATTTGACTGATCAATGAGTCACTCAAGAAATCATGGGAGAAATTAAAATATTCCTCGACTCAGATGATACTGGAATCACAACATATCAGAATGTGGGGCATAATGAAAGCAGTTCTAAGAGACAGGCTTATAGCTATAGTGACTACAGTAGCAAAATAGTGATCCCAAATATATAACCTAATGATGAATCTCAAGGGCTGTTACAGTTTGTGTCTAGATGTCCCCCAAAGTCTCATGTGGTCATGGGGTGGGCTTCTAGTGATTACTGTCCAATGCTGGGTTGAGGTGTGAGCGCTGCACCTGCCCTAGGACACATAGCCTGCATCCAGTACAAGGAAAGAAAGAGGCTTGCTCTCTCCTCCCCTCCTCTTCTGGTCTTGTTGCTTCTGCTGTCACCCACCGCTGTGACAGCTGCCCCTCAGGCCCGGCTGCCTTGGAGTCATCTGAGTATGGTCTGAAACC